GAGAGAGAGAGAGAGAGAGAGAGAGAGAGAGAGAGAGAGAGAGAGAGAGAGAGAGAGAGAGAGACAGACAGACAGAGAGACAGGACAGACTGACAGAAAAACACAGAGAGACAGGACAGACTGACAGAAAAACACAGAGATAAAAGCGAACCAGCCAGACAGCCAGACAAACAGACAAACAGACAGAGACAAAGCAGACACCAGGAACCACATCGAAAACAGCAAGGGTAGACAACAAACACGAGCAAACCTGACCCAAAACACGAACCGCCGAAACTACAACTACAAGAAGACGCCTTTACCTGGCTGAGGGCCCACTCATAGTGCGCGGAGAGCTTGAAGTACGGCCGGTTTTCTCGTCCGACAGGGGTGTGATGGATGTGAGTCACGTGAGCACGTCCCGCCATCGACGTCTGTGACGCGCAAGCATCGCGGCGGCAGCGGTAACGGTGGCGGGGGATAAGATGAGAGCCTCGGGACACAAAAACGTTTGTATTGCTCGAGGACAGCACCGACAGCTTGCGTCGAAGTGTGTCGATCGAATGGCACGCGATTCACACACTAGCATTCCCGACCATCGACGCGTGCGACAACCAGCCAAATCGCTTCGATTTAGGGACCAACAAACAGAAACCGCAACAAGGACGCCCTGACGAGTGCGTCACAACGGTCACCGGATTACATCGAACGCGCTGCTGCGTGCTAAATTACGCGTTGCGCTCTATTTGCACCACAAGCTTGGATTGCGGTCACAGGACATTTCCTTGTGGTACCACGCTGGAGTTTAGAAATGAGAGAAGGAATCAGAACCGTCTTGCAACGCGGACAAAGCGTCAGCACCAACGTCAAGACGCCTCCATTTCTCTCCAAAAGACCTTTGAGGTCCGCCTTGCGCCTGTTGCTTTTCATGTTCTACGGCGCACTCGTCGAGCCGAAAAATCGTCCATTTTCGCACGTTTTCCCCGCGCACAATTACGCACTTCTGCTGCTATACCGGTGAGCACATCGGCACGTCTCAAAAGCACTCTTTGATTTGTCGCACGCGGAATACATCGGTGTCATCCAAGGCCGCACCAAGAGCTCGCGTTCTTCCATTTGTGTTGGTTCCAGACTGGAATCGACAATTTCTTCTATGCGCGACAATAATTTTCTAAGCAGGACCGCGCGAACATGGTGAACCATAGAAAGACGTCAGACCTGCAGCGGGGAAAAAACACACAAACATACTTTTTTATTAAACTTTGCGTGCCTCCCACACACAAGACATATCAAGGTTTAAGGAGGCTTGAGTGTTTGCTTGTTTGCTTGTACCCGAAGCAACGCCGTCGACCTATCATCACACGGTCAGCACTCTCACAAAACACCCGCCATGGGAGCCCCGCATGATCAATACTGTCAAGTCTCGCGGAACCACCACCCACAACAGATTTGGTTCGTAATCATATGTCGAAAACTACCAAGGGGGCTCCATGGATGACCACAACAGATTTGTCTGCAAAGAGGCTCAAAGAGAAAGCACCCACTCGTGGCAAGCCTTCCCATCCCTGCATGGCTAGCAGGAGGCCGGCCTCATTTTCATGCCAAACGTTACACCGCATACGACTATTCCGCAGAACGAAAATTTCGCCCCAAACTTCCCACCGTCGACAACTATTCCGCAGAAAAATTATACAACCATAATCCCAAGCTTGACATCGTCGACCACTATTCCGCAGAGAAATCATACAACCATGATCCCAAACTTGACATCGTCGACCACTACTCCGCAGAAATATCATACAACCATAATCCCAAACTTGACATCGTGGACAACTACGCCGCAGAAAAAAACGTTTCATCCCAAACCATACATCGTTGACGACCATTTCCCATGAAAAACTAAGGGCAGAAGGACAGAGCACGCTCCAGTACGTGAAGAGGGGTTCTGGCCTCGCTCACCTTGAACCGAGATATAACCTCCTCCACGGCACTCGAGGGTCCATCCTGCGAGATCACCACCGGGATGGCAAATGATGCCCCCCTCGAACTCCCGGGGTGGTACTCGGCGACCGCTTTCAAAGTCCTCTCGAGGTACTCGGGCCTGTTCCGGAAGAAGGGGGATTGTTGGCGTTGTTAAGGCGTCCAGTACGATCAGGTTTCATACACGACGATCTCAGGGAAAGCGCCTGACAAGGGCTCGAGATGAGACTTAGATAAGGCCTGACGTCGGTAGGTAGGAAGGTCGTGGACGCTTGCTTGAAAATCTGATGCCGCCGTCGAGCTCACGGCCGATAACTTTCATCACAACACCAGTAAAACGACACCAACACCGTTGTAACATGGGCTGTGGAAGGAGGTGTAGCAAGATTAAGCTAGCGATGTCGGGGGTAACGTTGGAGAAAACGCGAGCGCACCGGTGTGCGATCCATCGGTTTCGAGGTACTGACTGCTCCACAATAAAAGAGGGTTGCGACCAAACCGACGACCCACACATACAAGGAAAGCTCTCGGCGAGTTATTTAGTTCTTTCTAGAACCACCGTTTGCGTCGATGGCAGCAGCCTCGTAGTTTCGGAGAAATCGAGATCAAAACAACACGAACAAACACCTGTGTTTTCGCCTGCGCATGTCACGATAAACGACTAAATAGTCAGTTCGTTGACGTGCCTTTTGGCAAAACAGCAAGAACCACGGAAAATGGAGTCAATTTCTGTCAGGCTGCGGATGCGAAAAGTTCGAAGACGGTTAGTTTTCGGAATGAGACAAACACGCAAGGCCACCGCGACGATACCACCACCCAACGCCCCCCCCCCAACAACAGACAACAACGCACGGCGCTTCGCGCTTGGTGATGTGCGAGCCTTGTCCGGTGAGAACCCGGCGTGCTCCGTCCCGGCTTTGCAGCGATGCAAGGTCAACGGTCTAACAACTACGGCATGCACGGCTACACCCCCCCCCCACTAAACAACAACAACTTCCCGCCCTAACATACACCTGTTGGCGCAGATGACCAGCAGCACGGCGTCGGGCCCAAGCATCGGCGTCCTCGCCATCCCCCTCTCCTCTTCGTCCTCCTCATCCCTCTGCCGCTGCTGCCGCTGCGCCAGCCTCGACAGCTGGCCTGGCTCCCACCTCACCTGCCCGTCCCCCCCCCCCTCCTCGTCGGCATTGATTATCACAGGTCTTCTTCTCACGTCGTCCTCGCCGCCAGCGCGGTCGGCGGAGAGCTGTGTCGTTGTTGGGAATGAGGACTAGGTTGTTGTTGACAGTGAGGAACGTTTTTTTTGTTGTTGGCAGGGAGGAACAGTTGATGATGAGGAGGACCATGTGTTAACGAGGAATAGGTTTTCGTAATGCATACTTGATATTGAGGCACAGTAGAGGTTTGCACGCAAAAGCGAATACGACGCGGGCTTCTTGATGATCATCGTACCATCCACCGGACGCCTCGTCGTAAAATTCCTCTGCGCGATCGACCCTNAATGCATACTTGATATTGAGGCACAGTAGAGGTTTGCACGCAAAAGCGAACACGACGCGGGCTTCTTGATGATCATCGTACCATCCACCGGACGCCTCCTCGTAAAATTCCTGTGCGCGATCGACCCACACAGCACTTTTGGAGAACAACGTCAACACCACTCAAATAACCCCTGGCAGCCAGCCTTCCATGACCCCTGTTCTACAACAACAAATCCGTTGTCGACAGGAGCCAATCGCACATAACTTCTTGTATTCTTTGAGGTACCTGCACTTCCTCATCGTTTCTTCTCCTCCTCTTCATTCTGTCCTCCTATTTTCTTTACGGATACACGAACTACCTAAATATCGTCCTGCTCCTCTTGACAGGCCACACCGCAACGGCCGCTCACCTCCGCATCCCACGACCCATCCCCGACATACGCCTCGATGCCGAGTCCAAGTCCACCCATCCAGCCGCCTCTGATAAAATTATTGCGGATGCTGTCCTCAGACGACTCAAACCTGTTCATACGTGTGCGGGCGCGTTCAACAGCTGACACGAAAATACCTCCATTCTCAAACCTGTGTGCATGTGTACGGGTGTGTTCAATAGCATCGACCGAGCCAACCCGCGCATCAACGAAAAACAAGTCGTACTCAGAGAGCCTTTCGTGGCGCCAGCGGCATACTCTGGAGGTAGGTGAGGCGGGGTATTCGAACAAAAACCAAGAACACCGACAAGCGCTCCTGGGCGACCTTCTTCCCCCCGGCTGGCGCGTCACACACACGAATGTCATGGGTGACACAATATAGCACATCCCCATGGCCCGTTTTCAAAGCTCGACTACTCCATGACGAAGAGAGTACATAAATGAAACGGAAAGCTCTCGACGAGACGGCTCCAACGCCCCCGTTTCCTGCGCGGCCACTCATTCTGTTGAGGATAAATCGAGGCTTGAAATCGGTCCTGAGGGTGTGGTATCTGCCGTCATGTCACCTACGGTACACCAAATGGTGCGTCGACAGGCGCCAGAATAGATGGAACCAATGCACACACGCACGCTTCCACTTTATAGGTGAACGTGCGGATCTCTAACAAACTGGCTGGTGCAATTTATGCACATGGTAACCAAGCTGTCTTTTACAACAGTCAGAGGTCTGTCTCACTTGCTGTCGGAAGAACAAAAATGTTACGCCTACGTTCTTGCAGTGCACCAAGCTCACCTATGAAATTTCTTCTTCGTCTTGGCGTGATCCTCTCGACTCCGGTATCGATCGTCGTTTCTTCTCTTAATAAACTCCTTCTTAGGACCCCTGTCGTGCCCCCCACCCCCCCCCAGATACCGCCCACCCTGCAGGGCCCCCTCATCCTCACCGTCAAGAGGTGGTCGCGGCGGCGGTGGCGGCGGCGGCGGTGGTCGTGGTGGTGATGGCGCAGGTGGCGCCGGTGGCGCCGGTGGCTTCTGCAATTGTTCTGGGCGGCGGTGAAACAACGAGGCACGGTACACACAGAAATGCGTGATGTGCACAAACAGCAGGTCGAAACGTTTGGATTTGTTTCCGGATGCCGTTGATGATACTTCACCAACAAAGCAAAGGCTTCTTGCACCGAGGCCATCTCGACATCGGCATTTCTGACCATCGTGCTACGACGTTGATCTCAATGGTGCTACTACCGTCGCGGACCTGGGTTTACATGTTGCTCCTACGAACAGGAGTTGGGGCATCGGTTGGGGGTGGTGATAATGGTCTGCAGTCCCGTGCATTCAAATAAACAAGCGTCGCACTAAGGGTCAAAGGGTTAAGCTTCGTTTTTCTGCACCCGCTGCCACCGCCGTCTATGCCTTGCAATAAACTATTTTCCTCTTTCAACAACAAAAAAAAATCTGTCGCGCAGGGAAAAGAAACAAAGCCAAAAACGAAAAATGACGGCACCAAAAAACGTGGGTCTGTTCGCCGCTGGAGATGCAGGAGAAAAACAGCTTGGTCATCATACAGCGTTATGAGTTCGTCACTAATCTACTCCACAATGCAAGCTTGGCTGTGGAGTCTGATGTGTGCCTGAAGAAAAAAAAAACACATAGAAGTACAGCAGTGTTTCGACGGCAACCCACACCTGCATCCCCTCGCGAAGAGTCGGCGTCCGTATCGTACCGAAACCCCGCCGGGGGCGCTGGTTCCTGAGAAGCCACGATGCACGAGATAAAACAGAGTAAGGCGGTCAAGTACAGGAGAAAATGAGGGGCAACCAAGAGATGACAACCTAGGAATCAACAAGTGTCACAAAAAACTAGAGATAGGACGAGACCGACTCAAGGCGTACATCGTTTCAGGAAACATGAATACACAGGAAGACCACCCATTCGAGACATAACCCCAGTCGAACGGGATGTGTTGGGGTCTTTGCAGTGAATGGAGGGAAACCTGC